GTAGTAACAAGTGCCACGCTAGTAGTAACAGGTGCCTTACTAGTAGTTTGACAAACTCCTTCACAACCAGGTCCCTCGCTCGTGATCGGGAGGTGCTCACGGTGTTCAAGACCGCATCATATTCGGCCAAAGTCCTTCATTGCTAGTCAGCCAAACAGCCAAACACAGCTGTGCAAGGAATCCAAACAAGGCAGATTGGCACGAATTGGTCACCCTGCTCTGTCCTGCGGAAAACTCCAACATGTGTAAAGAAACCATATTCTGTAGTTCTTAGCATCTAAAATGGAAAAGTAATTCAACACCTCTGATGCAGCCGGTCCAAAACTTGCGATGCCATCTTGAATCCGGCATCAGCAGCCCGAATGTCAATTGCACTTTGTGATATATTCCAACTTTGAGACGTTCTTGTAAGAAGTTTGCGATGCCCTTTGCTCCTAGTAGCTTCTTGTTCCTAGTAGTAAGGCCAGGAACCCCTAGTAGCGTCCTTGCTCCTAGTATGTCAATGAATCACGTCATTGAGCAATGGTTATGCTGTATGCCGAGTTCTTGCTTTCCGTGGAAATCCCAAATTTTGCTTCACATTGCTTGCCCGCGGGGGCGGTCGGGCTGTCAACAGGATTCGACTAATATTTGCTGTTTCTTGTTCAATCTAACGTGGTTCTGATCAAATTTGTTTGTCCTGATCAAAATTATGCATTTTGTGAAATTGCAATTTGCTTTCAACATGTTGGACATGTGCTACATGCTGATGAACAGCTTGTGACTTTCATGCAACTTGCAAAATCATTGAGCAGGCTATGCAACTCCCCAAGCAGGATCCTTCAGTTCTGCGCTGTCCAGGTGTTTTGAATTTGACTGACCCTCGTTAATTTGGAAAAACTCCTCCAAGCGCTGCATCAGTTCATGCTATTTAGTTTCTTCACCTTACCGACACTCACGATTTTTCGCGCCAGTCATGATGAATCCAGGGTGTGCAAGACCGCAGAAAAAAAAAAACAAGCGAAACATATACATAGCTGCATGACTTCAAACATCACACTCTGCCTTAATGATTGCTTTCTGCCATCAATCCAAGACCAGCTTGTTTGGAACAAATATAGAAGCCTGCAAAACCCTGTCTTTCAAAAGGATCTCACCTGCTTTCGAGGCACTGTGACCATGTAACGATGTCGATGCTATCTCTCAACATAGTTTTACATGTTTTTACCTGCTGCCGCACCAGTGGTTCTCAGAAACAGGATAAAGGAAGTATCTATAACCATTCGACTCTATTTTTTGGACCCTTTGATAATTGGTGATGTCTTACTTGCATTTTGCAAACATGCGGATCTATTTTTTGACAGCCAATAAAAAATGAGTATGTGCAATAAACTATACGGTGTGCATGACCCAAACAACACTTAGAGATGCACGCACCATGAAGTTGATGAACAAACAAAAGGCGTATCTATAGTTACTCTGTTTTTGAACCCTCGAAAAAAGTCTAGTTATGTTTTATTTGCTATTTCCAAGCATTGGTTGATATATTTTTCGACCCCTTGAAATTGCACATCGTTCAGGTGATCCAAATTAATTAATCGAATTTGCACGCACTTTGAACAGTAAACGATACACTTGCAGCCAGCTGATGCATATGCTACCACAATAAATTATCCAACTGCAACCAGCATCAACCAGCTGATGCATATGACGCAATCATGGCAGATTTTTTAGACATAAACTTGAACTGTTGAGAGGAGTCCTTTGGTTGCCTTTCATGGACGCAGCGATGCAAATGATACGACAATGAGAAACATAGGCACAGATGATAGGTCTGATAGGTGCAGGTGGAAATATATTAGTTTTCCATGCTTTCTCCAACTCTGCCAACTCCCAATCCTCTCCCGGACACACCTCACGATAAACATTAAAATGCGCCCCCCTAACAAGCGGAAAGGTCTTTCATCCTTTCTGCTTTGCCGTTAATCTCTGTCCACACGGGTTATACGTGTCCAAAAACATTGAGTGCGTGGAACCTGGAACGTGTTTCAGAAGAAGCCGGGCTGCTGCACCTTGGGCGATGATACGGACCATCGCCACAAAGACCTTCAAATGTCTTAAGTCCGGAACTCCAAAACCGGCGGTGCATTTTGAGAGCAGCAATTCCGTCCGCCGATGACCCCGGTGTCTGCAAGTGGTCTGGAGCACGCTAGAAAGAAACAACAGGATCAGGATCAGTGTCTAAACGCTGGCACCACGCAAGCACGACAACGACAACTTGGTGGCGTTAGACACAGCGGCCCAAACCAGCCATGTCAAGAAATCAGGACGTCTCGCTTACATCTCCTTTCTTGACGATGGGCCTGGGATAAGGGCACGCCTTGCGCTATGGTTTTTTCATGTTTTTTCCAATCTCCAGGTCCTGCAGCACGCGCGCACAACCTTTTCTTGCTGTTCTTAGAGCGTTTGAGGCGCGGTTTGTGCAAGGGTTGTGATCCTGTCAAGGTTTCTCTCGTCAGGGTATCTTTGGGTTTGACTCGCGGTTTTCGTTCCTGTATAGGGATTGTGTTGGCTTGGCTCAAGGTGTCATTTCTTTAGGGCTTCTGGCTTGGTTTAGGGTTTCACTTTTGTAGGTGTTCTTCTGGCCTAGATTTGTGGTTTACCTTCTTCGGGTTTAGGGGCCCACTTCTTCAGTGGGTTGGGTTTTGTATCCAGGGCAGGAGCATGGCAGCCGCGGCTGGAGCAGCACTTCGCGAACCTCGAAATGCAGATTTCTTGGCAGGCGCAGCGATTTGTGAACCTTGAAATGCAAATTTTGTGGCAGGGGCGGCATTTTGTGAACCTCGAAGTGCAGATTTCGTGGCAGGCGCGGCGCTGGGCGAACTCTAAGTGCAGAGGCGCGGCCGTTGTGAACCTCAAAGTGCAGATTGCGTGGCAAACGCGGCATTTCCGTGGATCTCCAGACCATTGAATGGAGCTCTTGGATCTCAAAAGCTCTGGACCTCATTAGCGGCCCCCCATGGCTGCTGCCCACCTTATTGAAGAAGGTCCAGCCAAAGCTGCTCCTGTAGCTTCTGGGCGGGCGGTGGTGCTTGAAGAAGTAGCTTCAAGACGCGTTGCATCACTCGTCTTCTTTTTCTCCTCGAGAAGGATGACAGCAGAAACACATGACACAAAAACAAAGGGAAACAAAGATAGAGGCCGCGAGACGGGCACTCGCCGACCGCGCGGCTTTCCGCGCTTTGGCGGCCACCGCTTTGGCGGCCGCCTCAGCCGCCGCTTTGGCCTTGGCGGCCTCAACCGCCTTGGCCGCAGCTGCTGCCAAGGCGGACGCTGCAGTCTTTTTCTGAGCCATTGTGTGGCTGCGTTACTGTGGTGCCTGGCAGTTTGCATTTGGCATTTTATCCACAAGGCGTTTGATGTAGAGTATTTAGTGGCTTCATGAGACGCAGCACCCTTTGCCCTCATGGGTGGTTGATATGGAAAGGCGAGCGCGACAAATGCGCCATGTCACAATCGCATCACACTGCGGCAAAAGAGTCTGTTACAACAGAGCTAGGAACCACCACAAACACACAATGTTGACTCAAATTCACGGACGCCAATTTCGAGCCATTCGTCGCACACTTCGATAACTGACGGCCGATGCTCGAAAGAGCTATTCCCCCACACCCCCTTGCGGGGGAATGACCGCGTATTTCAGCGGGGCAAGTTTCTCTTTGGGCAACTTTAACATTGGACGAATCGGTTAATTCTCTCTGCAGCGCGTTGTGAACCGCAGATTTCGTTGCAGGTGCGGCGGTGGGCGAACCGCCAAGTGCAGATTTCGTGGCAGGCGCAGAGATTGCGAACCTCAAGTGCAGATCGGCAGGCGCAGCGTTTCTGTGGAACTGAAGACCTTTTGAAAGAGCTCTTGACATCTTGAATCAAGAGTCTTCTGGACTTCTCTCTGCATCTCAAAGCCTTTCTGGATCTTTCATATCTTTCTGGACCCTACAAGTCTAGACGTCCTTCCAGGACCTGTCTACATCTCAAGCATTTTTCTAGACCTCTACACCTCTACATCTGTCTGGGTCTCCAGGCTCTTGGATCTTAAGCTTACCTGGAATGGACCCTTCCTCCCTATAATTCTATTCTCGGGTGGCTCACAAATTTGCTACGTTGGAATAGCACCTCCTTCTCCAAATTCTACCCTGGGGTTGCTCGCAAAACAAAGGCCTGCTACGTTGGAATGCCAAGTTCTTCCTCTGAATTTTATACCCGCAAGGCTAACAGAAGGTCTGCTACTGGGGATGGCTGCTTCCTCTTCAAAATTTGACCCGTAGAGGGCTCACAAACCGCTTGCTATATTGGAATGGCACCTTCCTCGTCTAGACTTTGCCGTCGGGTGGCTTACTCTGCTACGTTTGGTTATAAAACGTCGGCTACAGCGCTCCACAGGGTGTATGACCAGTAAATTTCCAAATCACCCTTAACACGTCTTGCAAAGGACCAACAGACCAGAGGATCAAGGGACGAGCAAGGGACCAGAGGACCAAGGAACCAGGACAAAGTGACCAAAGGACCAAGCGAACAGGGAACCAGCACGCCAGGGCTGTGGTTCGGGGTGGCATTTCTACCTGGCGAGGCCCAGCGGTGACCACAGTGATCGCGCACTGGCGATTGAGGTTCGGCGGTGCCTGCGATTGAGCGCTTGCGGTTGACGTCCGCCAGAGCCCACTGGGATCTTGCATTTGCAGTTGAGGTCAGGTGGAGGAGACGGAGGAGGAGGAGGAGGAGGACATCTCTGATAAAATCTAACAACCCTCACCTGGCAGGTGGGGAGAAACACAAAAAATTGGACGCCCGCAGTCCCCCGCCCTCCAAAAGAAGTACCCAAGGGTTGTATAAATGTGCTTTCTCACCGACTGAACATCGCACTAAAAATCCTCACTCGATCTACACGTCACATCTTACGTCTCAAAATGTCTGCAACTCCGCACTTTAATGTCTAAATTTATCATGAATGAGTCCAGCCCTGTGAATTAGAGCTTCTGTGCCATCACACTGCTCATCCCTCCCAGTCAGAAACCACAAAACATAAAACAGTTTCACACTACAATAGTCATAATCTTAAAACACTGCAGCAAAAAGCAAGCTTGGCCTTTTTTCTCTAGGGTTCAAATAATGCAGCAGTGTCCAAGGCTTGGTCAGGATCCCACATCAAGTAAGTTCTGGTTACAGGAGGGCACCTGAAAATGCATTTCAAAAGAAATCGGCTTTGCTTTCATGTGAGGAAAAAGAATCTTTTCTAGCTCGTTGTTCTGAATGCTGACAAGGCACATCAGGAAAAATGTTGTTAAAACTCCTTTGGCCAAAGTAAATCTCAAACCGGCAGTGATGATGATTTTGCAGGAATGGTTCAATCTCTCCCATC